AAGGGAAGCGGCTGCTTCTCCAATGCGGCGGTGTGAAATTGGGGAATCTTAATTATCTGAAGAAACCCTTTTACACACAAAAGCTTCGGGATTTGGATTCTGCACTCCGAAGCTTCATGGACGTTTTGTTGTTGCAGATGGGTAGAGACCAGAAGAAGAATCTGAAGATGATGAACCAAATGATGGAGATTATTTGCAGACTCGATAACAGAGGTGGGTCGAGCAAGGCTATGGATTTGATTGTGCCGCCATGTCTGGTTCCTCAGCTGCGAGAACAAACTGTTGGGTTGCAGAAGCCAGTTAAGGAGCTGAAGTTGAAGCTTCTAAAAAATGGGGCTCAAATGGTGGTGGTGACAGCTCCTGGAGGCTGTGGAAAAACCACACTGGCCTTGAAGCTTTGTCACGACAAAGAAATCAAAGGTACGCCAAAATCATTCTTTGTGAGGGAATGAACATCAATTAAACTATTGGAACTTTCTAATTTAGCGTCTTAATAGATATATTCCAGGGGAAGATCTTGTTTGTTGTAGTTTCAAGAAACCCAGATTGGAAGCTCATATTTAAGAACATAATTGAAAGCCTCAGAGGCATTCAATTGCCTGATTCACAAAATGATGAGCGTGCATTCTGCTATTTAGAATTGTGGCTGAAGCAGGCAGCTCAAAATCATCCTGTTTTGATTGTGTTAGACGATGTGTGGAACGGGCCAGAAGCTGAAGGCCTTCTTGACAAGCTTTTTCAATTGCCTCACTGCAAGATCTTGGTCACTTCTAGGTTTTCTTTCCCAAGATTTAGTGAGTCTTATCATTTGGAACCTTTGAACCACGAGAATGCAATCAAACTTCTCCTCCTCGCAGCATCATTGGAGAAAGAAAGTTCTAAGCTCCCTGATGAAGAAACCATCAAAAAGGCAAATTTTCTGTCATCTGATACCTTTTACCTTTATATATCTATCATATTATAAACAGCTGAGTTTGAATTTCAGATAATTGGGGGATGCAGGAGGCTCCCTCTTGCTCTGAAGGTAATCGGCACGTCGCTTTCCCGCAGACCGATGTCGGTTTGGAAGGTGACGGGGAGGAACATGTCTAGAAGTGGCTCCATATTTGATTCTGAGAAAGAGCTTCTTGAATGCCTACAGAGCAGCCTGGATGAGTTGGATGATAAGATGGTAATCAAGGAGAGTTTCATGGATTTAGGTTCTTTTCGCAAAAACCAGAGAATCCCTGCTTCAACCTTCATTGACATTTGCAGAGTTTTGTATGAACAAGATGAAACTGAAGCAATGGCCACCCTCGACGAACTATTCTCTCGGAGTTTAGTTAATTCTGTCACAACGAGGTTCGTGTTTTTCTCGGTTGTATTGATGTAAACAGAACAGATATTGATTCGTTTTGTGGGGTTGGTTGTTCATATCAGAAAATATGGATATGATGATGAGTTCTACGAACAGTACTGGTTCACTCAGCATGATATTCTTAGAGATTTGGCTATCCACTTGATGAACTTGGAGCCCATAGAACAAAGAAAAAGATTGTTCTTGGATATCAATGGAAATGATGTTCCCAAATGGTGGGTACATCAAGAGAAGCATCCCTCCAATGCTCGCCTTATATCCATAACCACAGGTCTTTCCTTCTCTGTCTCTTCTTTTGTGTTCTTCACTCTCACTACTTCAAACTCAAAAAAACAGATTTTGAATGTTGCAGATGAGAGATTCTCATCAAGTTGGCCTCACATGGAAGCATCTAAAGTGGAGGTTCTGATTCTAAATATTCATTCAAGAACTTACACCTTGCCTGGATTCCTGAAGAGAATGATTAAATTGAAAGTTCTGATAATCTCAAATTTTGATTCTTTTCCAACTGAGATGACAAGTGAAGATAATCAACCACTCAACTGTTTACCAAGTCTCGAACAAACAAGGTTCGAACGGATTTCGGTTCCTCTCTTCAGTAATCCAAACCAGAAACCACTGATAAATCTGCAGAAAATATCGTTCTTTATGTGTAAATTTGGTCAAACCAAAATCTGGGATTCGATGCCAAATTTGCTGGAGATATCCGTTGACTTCTGCAAAGATTTGAGTGCAATCCCCAAAGGGGTGTGTGAAATTGTGAGGTTACAGAAGCTGAGTATTACAAATTGTCATGGACTATGTTCCTTGCCAGAAGACATAGGAAAGCTGATTAATCTAAGAACACTGAGGCTTAGATCCTGCATTCATTTGGAAGAGTTGCCCGAATCGACGACAAAGCTTCGGGGATTAGTCGTGCTTGATATATCGAACTGTGTCGGTGTAGCCAAGCTTCCTGAGAAGATTGGTGAGTTGCATGACTTAGAAAAGGTTGACATGAGGAACTGCTCAAGCTTGCGCAAGCTGCCATTGTCAATCAAACATCTGAAAAAGTTGAAGCTGTTATGTGATGGAGAGATTGCAGAGTGGTTGAAAACGGCTACTCCCCACCTTGCCAAACAGGTCAAAGTGCACCAGGAAGAAGCCAACCTGGAGTGGCTGGGTTTATGAACCTTCTTTCCTTTATTTATTTATTTTTGTTAGCACAGCATAACATTTCACGCTCTATCTAAATGAACTTAAAAAATAGGAAAGAAAAAAAATGTAATTAAAAGTTTATATTAATGAGTCGATCTAAGTGTACCGTATCTATTTAAAATATTGGATGCTAATTATATATATATATATATATATATATATAGTGCACTTGAGATAATTATAATTATCTGACATATATTGTTTTACTAGTTTTTATTTTATTTTATATATATCTTTATCATATAAATAATTGAATAAATTATAAATAGGTAGCTAATATACTCCCAACAGTTTTCTTACTTCCGCTGCTTTTTATTCGGATATATATCAGGAGAATATTTGCTTAATCCATTTTGAAAATTCTCTATTTATAATTAAATAAATTATAAATTATAATTAAATTAAATTAAATTAACTTAGTCAACAAATATAAATGGTTGCAAGAAGAAAAACGAATAAAAAGATCCCTTTTATTTCTTTGCCGTAGAAATCTAGAGTGGGAAACACGTAGATTTATCACAAATGAAAAGGAGAGAATAAAATGTGTAATTTTTTTTAAATGATTTTTCTTTTTTTTTTTCTAAAAAAGGAAATATTAAAAGATAGGGGAGACAGTGGGCACTAAAAAATGTAAGAAAATATAGAAGTGTTTGTTCATGTCTTGTAGCTTTAATTTTTTAGAAATTTAAAAATTATATTTTTATTATTTAATATTCAACCAAAGGTATATCTAATTTTATTTTTAAGATGAATTCCCATTTACAAATTAGTGCCATCTAATTTTGGAAACAAAAAGCTTGTTTCTTAGTCGGTATAAATTTGTGAGTTCGAATGGAAAGAAAAAAAATACAAAAGAACAATATTTACTAACAAAAATATTTGATGTTTAATTACAGATTTGTTTGGTTTGTTTCTGATAAAGATTTAGAAGTGCATGAATGGATGATGGGGTCCATTGATCGAGCAGTAACAGGCATCGAGGAGTAACAAAAGAGCAACCATGAATGGTAGCAACTAGTTTGAAGTGTAGTATCACGAACTCAAATTTGGGGGAAACAGAGCAGAATGGCCATCAAAAGCTGTAACACCACACCCATTGCTTCTCAAATAGCCTTTCAGAATCTGTGTGGTGTTCTTCTCATCATCTTCAGTGTAACACCACACCTTCAGATTCGTGAAGGCGACAGCGACACCACTCCATTATGCCTTACGTGCTTCTCTGTGTGATTCTCAAACTCTACAGCTTCCTCCTACTTTTTTTTTTTTTTTGTTTTTTTTTACTTTTTTTCCATTCATATCTTAAATAATAAATCATTAAATCTATCCGTGAATTTGGAGCCGTCGGTATTATAAAAATATGCAAATACCACATTATTATCTTTTAATTAAATTGCATAGATATTTGGGTATTAAATTAAAAGATGTGACAATGACAGTACTTATTGGTCAGTTTTATGGCGTATGCATAATATGATTGCATCCACGATGGGGCAGTGGAAGACGAAAAGAAATATGAAGAATCAGAATTTAAAATATTTTATAAAATAAAATAGAAAAATAGAAAAAGAAAAAAGGGTTATTGGTTGGAGTGAGGAGTGAGGAGTGGGTGTGATTATTTAGTATAAAAGAGAAAATGAAGCATCTTAAAATTATAAAAAATAATAAATAAATAACAGAAAAAGGCAGATCGTACTGATCCTTACTACTGTGTTAGTTGAAGCAGCACCATTCGCAGTCTCACCGTTAAAAAAAAAAGAATGCCTTATCCTCGTGCCCAATTCTCTCTCCTGTCACACAAAATGTTGAGCCATACTTTTTCAACTCCCTGCCACTCTAGTGGGATCAACAAGCCATTTTCCACCATTCATTTTCACTCCCTCGCCATCATGGAACCAATCTAACCAAACCGAACCAAATTGAATCAGATATCGAGCAATGTGCTAGCACTGTATTGGATTTGGACTTGGACTGTTACAAATAATATTAGAGCCAGACATTAAGCAATGTGCTAATAAAAAGGGAGAGCCTCAAATGATGTGAACACGAGACGATGTGTCACTAAGAATATTAGACCTTAAAAGATGTAGACTGAGGGTCATACATTGATTGAAGAAGAAAACAAGTGTATAAAATACAAATATAATTGAAATAGTTAAATGAATTTAATAATATTTATAAGAATAAATACTAAATAAATTGAAATAAATATAAAAAATGGCGTCAAATGAGAGAGAAAATTACGGTTCAAGTCAAAGACAGCGTTGCTTTCGGCCCACGGTTCCTCTCCCCTGTCGCACCCACCCACCCACCCACCGAAGAATCTAGTAGAAATTTCTTTTGGGAAATCTCAAAAAGAGACGCATTAATTTAAGACACTGAATATAATATTGTTTTAATTTATTAAAAATAATAATAATAATAAAGCAAACAATTCGCCGCATGACGATGATCTAGAGAATCCAAAGATTCCAACACCACCAGACTCGGAAACCCGACCAGGCCGATTCGATTTAATTTCCCCGCGTCGCCGATTTATTGTTGTACTAGATGCGACGACCCGGTTTCGTCATCAATTAAAAACTCCCCCTCGAATCTTAGCCTCCTGAATCTGCGCTGTTTATAAATACAATCTCCTCTCCCTCTCTCTGTTTCTCTGTCCATTCTCTATTTTTGTTTCTTGCAAATGATCCAGATAAACATACAGAGAGTTCGACACAGCCAGTAATCGATTATGGAACCCAGCCTAGATTTGTCCTTGGACTCATTACCCAAAACCATACCCCAAATCCTTCTTCAACTCTCATCCATCTCCGATTCCTTCACTAAACGCACAACGCTCGATGACTATGTCAAGAGATTGGAAGATGAAATGAGGAAGATCGATGCCTTTAAACGGGAGCTTCCTCTCTGTATTCTTCTCTTGCAAGATGGTGGGTGTCTTTGGATTCTCTCATTTGTTGTCGTTTTCGGGATTTTGGGTTTTTTTATGACGTTTTGATTCGTGGGTTTGCAGCTATTTTGAAGTTGAAAGAGGAGGTGTTGCAGCTTCAGTCGGTGAAGGAGCTGCCGGTGATTGAAGAGTTCATGCCATTAAAGGGAAGCTCCGATCAAGCCGACGGGGAAAACGAGAGGAGGGAGTGGTTGAGTTCTGCTCAGTTGTGGAACACGAATTTCAATTTTGTTGATGACGATATCTCCAACGCCAAATCGAATATGAACTTGGTAACTTTTTACTGAGATTTAGTTCTCAAATTATTCCTCTGAATGGGGGTTTTCGGGATGGATTTAAATAGCTTTCGTTACAGGATGGGGATGAAGACGATCGGTCCGTGCCGCAGACCCAAATCGAACACTGGGATTGTGAAAAAAAACGAAGAGCATTCGAATTGTTCAAAGATCAAAGCAATTTCGTTAAAAGATCCACAAAAGAAGATGTGGCGGTTTCAGAAGTCCCAAAACTTACTCTAATGACAACAATCTCCGATCCTTTTCCTGTTAATGTTAATTTGACCGTCAAGAACGGCCGCGTCAGTGGACGGAGCGGTAGAGCTGCTGTTTCTGGGTCGTCTTCGCCGGTGGTGCAAATAAATGGACAGACGAAATTGTCCCAACAGCAGCATACTATAAGGAAACAGAGACGGTGCTGGTCGCCGGGGCTCCACCGGCGTTTCATTGACGCACTGCACCGACTCGGCGGATCTCAAGGTAAAAAATTCTTACAATTTTGATTCTCTGGAAATTTTACATCTGAGAATCAATTAATGGATCTATTTCAATTCCGCAGTGGCAACACCAAAACAGATAAAGGAATTGATGCAGGTGGACGGCCTCACCAACGACGAAGTGAAGAGCCATTTACAAGTAGGATTAACAAAAAAAAACATAAATTAATTTCTGGGTTCCTTTTAAATTCATCAATTTCTTATCGTAGAAGCCTTTTTGTTTGTGACGAATCTTTCTCGAAGCAGAAGTACAGGCTTCACGTTCGAAAATTGGCCCCGCAGGAAGGTTCAAGCGGCGAGGGGTGGATACCGGGAGAACACGAGGGCGAGCACCACTCAAAGACAAGTGGTACACTGGCGGGATCTCCAGATGGGCCACTCCAGGGCGGTGGGTCTGGAAAAGCTCTGTCCATAACCGAAGGGGAGAGTATGGAAGGGGAAGAAGATGCGAAATCGGACGGCCATAGTTGGAAGGGAAGGATTCAGAAACATGGATATGTGTGAGGAATTGGAAAAAGAAGATAGCTGAACGAATGGGGTGTTTCAGTTCCGACAAGTTTTGCAGAGAAATGGATACAAAATGGGGAATTTGAAATTTCTAATTTTGTAGACACGACAGAGTAAGTAGGGTAATAATTGTAACTTACAAACTTTTCTTCTTTGGTTATGTGTAGCAAGCAAGGAAGTAAGCATTGGATGATGAGGATGCTACTCCTAAAACTAAGCTTTTTGAAGCGTAAGTTATTTTGTTTCTTAAATTTTCAATGTTCATGGAGCTCGGAACAACAAATAAATCAACTATTTCACCCACATAACATCTTCTAGATATTTTATATGTATCATATCTATTATCCATGTGACAACTAATCCTACTGCTAGTAGATATTGCTTACCTAGTATATTGTCCTCCTTAGCTTTTCTTGCCCAACAGTACCTAGCCACCGCTAGCAGATATTGACCTTTCTGTTATAGACATTCTCCTTTAGACTTTAAAACGCATTCATTAAAGGAGGTTTTCACACCGATTGTTTTATGTAATGGGCACACTTCTATTCCTCTTTACCTCATTGTGAGTAATAGAAAGCAATTTGAGAGATGGGAATTTAAAAGAAGAGAATGGGAGTGGGACTGACAAAACAGAGAGCCACAGTCTGATTGTGAAGGCCTCTGCTCCATTGAGGAATTGATAAGAGAAGCTGCATTTCACGTGGATTCTCACCATGTTATCAAGCAGCCATGTGGTGGATGAGCATTTGTGAAGCACGTAGGTGCCATCTTCCCTTCCCCCAATTGTTAATGGAATATAGCATCATTCCATGAATATAGCATCATTCCATAAATAAAGCAATGGCGAACACAGGGACAAACTTTTGGCCCTCTTCTGGCATCGATCAAAGCCTTGGAGTAGTGGTGCAACTCATAATGCATGTTCTTCACATTGGGTTTTCATTTATACACTCAAAACCTCACAATCAACACTTTTATAGCTGCTTATTTTAAATTCAGGTGATCTTCTTTTTCCACGCCATTCTTAGGCTAGCTATTTTTTTTTTTTTTTAAAGATATTTCTCCACAATGTTGAGAGTGAGATTTGTTTGGTTTGACATGTTACTTATTGCCGAGTCTCACCGTTTAAAAACATGTTCGTTAGAGAGGAACTTTCACTCTTTTATAATGAATATTTCGTTCTTCTCTCAAACCGATGTAAGATTTCAAATAAAATATCTTCATAACTTTGAAAATTAGACCTTTATTTCAAGTTCATCTAATTTTATAGTATATTGTGTTTTTCATAGTCAAAACCGACTTTATGGATTGTATTTAATAATATGAACAATAAATTTGAGCCAAATCTATGCATCTAAATATGATAATCACACCTCGGTAATTGGAAAAAAGAAAAAAAGAAAACAAAAACAAAGACATTAAATTATGTCATTTAAGCAAGTATCTCTATACTAAACTTTGTCCCCTTAAATTTCTTATTTTTATTTTCGGATAATTGCAAAAAAAAAAAAAAAAAAAAAATGATAGTTTAATTTTGAAATGTTAATTTTGCCTATTTTGAAGAAAAAATCCCTAATTTTCAGTTCCTTCTTTCTCTTAGCTCGCGCGCACGGGTGTCCTCTGAAATCTTGCGACGGCGTTGATCCTTTCCTTCCACACACGGCAGCTTCTGGAATATATACATTTTTTTTCCTCCTATTTTCGTCAACTCCTCCGCTAGAAAACGCTCTTAGCTCTCGTTCACCGAGTACCCGCCGTCACTGATCGTTTTCCAGCCACTCTCTTCTCTTCTATTATTGTCTTACAGCAGACGCAAATCTTGAAAATTTTGTGAGAAAATTCCTCCGAGTTCACAGGTTAGAAAACATCATCTCTTTTACATACTTATATCAGTCTTGAATACTCCATTATAAAATAGCGACATTCTTAGATACTCCAGGACGGACCTTCGCTAATGTTCATAAGACATCGGGGTTTTTACCCAATTCTTCTTTGTGGCAGGAACTATGAGGGAAGTCGTGACTGTTCAAGTTGGAGAATTTGCGAACTTCGTTGGTTCTCATTTCTGGAACTTTCAGGTACACCCCTCCCCGTACTGCCCTATTATCCTCCATTACGTTTATTGCAAGTATTAGTGGAATTGATACTGTTAATTTCAATTTGCAAGTACTGAGCAATACTTCTTCAAGTTAAATTACTTGAATGATTCCCAACCACTGGGATTTTAAATTGTATATTTATTTTCTTTTCTATCCTTAATCATGCCAAGCTAAATAATTTACGTCATTCTTGATGGAAGGATGAGTTGATTGGCCTTGCTGCGGCCCCTCTTGGAGATGCTGTGTTTAAGAATCAACATCTTAATATGGACGTACTCTACCGTTCTGGTGAGACACAACAGGTGGAATATTTGACATTATGTTGTAAATGAAAAGAAGTTACACATCTTACAATGTTGTAAGCGTACTAATCAACATACAATGCGTAAATGTCTTCCTTTTAGTTAATGCAACTAATGTATTATTCCATGTGTTGATTAAGAGCTTCATTTTGAGACAAAGTACATCAGGTCTAAGTTTATATTTTCTGTAACAATTCATGCTTGCTTCTTACTCTCGGAATAGACTCTGGTATTTCCCAACCAACCATATGTGTCAAAGTTGTAACATATTTGTGCTAGGTTTTTTCTACCTAAATTAACTTTCTTCACTAATGGAGCTAATGTTTTGTCCTTTTTCCATCTGTTTCACTTTTTTTTTTTTTTCTATTCTCTGAATAATTTGCAGGGTGTACTTACATATACTCCACGCCTAGTTTCAGTTGGCTTTAAAGGTATGTTTCTGTAATCAATACTTGAGATCAACTTTGTCATAAAGTAATTTTATTTTTTTCTAGGTATTAGACAAGTCCAATGATGCTAATACAATTTTTGAGTTGCAAACCACCCCCACCCCTGGTTCCCTGTTACATAAATTATTTGCTTATGCATTCTTTCCCCACGATGTGCTATTATTTGAGTATTCATTTTTGGCTGTACACTTCCTTTGTTAGTTTTCTCCTTCATTTTTTGCCGCAACAATATGACTTATTATTATTGCTTCCTTTAAGTTTGTATACTCTTGCTGTCTTTAGAGACCGAAAATGGACTCTCTTCTTTACATGAACTGATTGACTTATAATATGCAGGAGGCTTAGGATCTGTAAGTGCACGTGGCACTCTATATAATGATGATGCGGATACACCATCTAATATTGTCACGTGGTGAGATCTTCATTATTGAAGTTGAAGAGTGAATATTTCACCCCTCACATTTAAAGACACCCATGACAACAATACATTAATGTGCATGCATATATGATATATGTATTCCAATTTATTCGACTTCTTCGTCTAAAAGATATGTGGACATAATTTCTTTTTCAATCGATTTTTCTAGCTAACAGCAGAAGCTCCTAGATCGATGGTTTTACATTGCTCTTATGTGGGAATCAGTGTGTAGATAGATGCACATATGTTTATATTAGATAAAAAGTTCTGACTTCTAAGGATATTCTTACATTATGAATTGACTTCTTGTTACTTACAGTTGCAGTGCAATGAACCAATAACTCCAGAAACCGTGTAAATTTTCCTATATTTATTCTTAGCACTTAGTTTTTCTATAACTTTCTAGCATAATGATCTTGGTTAAATTTTGTTTCTTCAATCAGGTAATGCACTATCTGGCCTATAACTTCATTTGAAAGCTTCATTATTATCTAATTTGAATTGTAATCTTGAAGTAAATTTCTGGTGCTTGATGAAATTGAATGTGTATTTTCTATTCTGCAGGCGTGGTAATGTTGCCACTCAGCATTCTGAATCATGTAAGAAAAACTTGTTCTTGCAAAGTTTATCTGAAGAAGAGCAGGAGAACGTAGTGAGTGGTCGGGGAGAAATTGAGGACAAGGATATAGTTGAATGCCTAGAAAAAGATGTCACCTTTTGGACAGACTTCTCTAAGGTTCACTACCACCCTCAAAGCTTATATCAATTAAATGGATTATGGATGGACGTTCAGGAGTTCGACAATTATGGAATTGGAAAAGAATCTCTCTCTTGGAGTTCGCAAGGTGAAGAAATCGATGAGAGGCTTCGTTTTTTTGTGGAGGAATGTGACCATATCCAAGTACGTGTTATCAATTTTTCTTTTTTGCTTTTTCCTTGTTGGCATTGTTCAAGTGTGGAATTCGAATCTACAACTCCTCTTTATATGCCATTGCATTGCTGTATTATGTTTGTTAGTTTTTTGGTTGGATATTAAACATTGGTACTTAATTTTTACTTGTTTCCAATCCTGAACTGTGAACTCCATATGCCACTGGGTCTTTATTATAGTCGATTCTTTACACCCAATATGATGGGACCTTTAATACAAAATTTGAGCTAGAATGGTTGCACTTTTCTTCCTTGTTGAGTAATGGTCTTTTGTTGATCCTTATAGGGTTTTCAGTTCATAGTTGATGACTCAGGAGGTTTTTCGGCAATAGCTGGGGATTTTCTTGAGAGTGTTGCAGATGAATATTCAAACACCCCAGTTTTACTTTACAGTGTTCGAAGTCCTAGCTCTTCTAACATGCTTCGTGAAAATAAGAAGCAGATAGTTTCTAGAAATCTCCATGATGCAGTTTCATTTGCAAGACTATCATCTTTTTGTCAGCTTTATGTGCCAGTTGGTTTGCCAAGTTTGAGCAGAAGTATGTGCCACTATGGCTGGAAGTTTTTCTTGCGTATCACTCTTTTGTCTCTACTTTTTTCCCTTTTGACATTACATAGCTGCTTAGAGTTTCAAGCTTGCTTTGGGAAACACTTCCGTTTTCTCATTCATTGTTTTGAAGTCAATAGATGCTAAGAATCTTGATCATCAGCAGCTCTTTCCTTTGGATAATAAATATAAGTTTTATTTTACAATTTGTTCTGGTGGAGATTCTCTTCTCTTCTCTAAGTTTCTTCTTTTTCTTTTTTTCTTCTTATCTTTTAAAAACATTTGAACCTTCACCCATTTTTTTTTCTCATTATTCTCTGTTATAATATTGATAATCGTTTTTACATTTATCAAGGCAAAGCTACCACGCATCTCTGCATTGATGACCAGAAGCCTTACCACTGTAGTGCTGTATATGCTGCTGCTTTACACTCCATTGGTCTTCCTTTACGAATGGAAGCCCATGGTGCAACCACAGATTCAAATTATGTTTCCGGTGCAGTTCATATCAATGACTTGGTAAGGATGTTAGCTGGGCAAGGTAGGCAAAATATGGTGGCCATTTTGGATGTTGCTATGCCGGCGCCCTCTGTCTTTGGTATATACTCTGCCATTTCTTTTTACTTTCCGAAAAGAACTTTTTTATCATTGGTCTCATGCTTCTTCTGCAATCTGTAATACAGGAAAACATTTGGGCCAATCATTCTTGGAAAATTTGCAGCCCTTGACACCCGAGGTAACAGAAGATGCAGAAGATTTGCAGGCACTGGAATACATGGCCGTGCATGGAGTGTTTGGATCGGGTATGTATTACATTAAATTATTACCAGGTATTCTCATAAGGCTTAGTCAAGATGCACTGGTTCCGCATTTGAAGACGTGTCTTCAAAACTATCTTGTTAGAAGGAAATATAGAATATGTGACATCTCAATTTAACGGTAAACTAAAATGTTGTCATGTCATTGTTCTAACTCGATTTTACCTCTTTAGGAGGGGACCGGGCTTCAGTCTCCGAAGTAAAGGATGAAATTTGTGCTGCTTATGAAGGGGAAACAGTAAAGCCAATGCACTGCCATCTATCAACAGCTCAATGTCCTCTGCCTATACCCTTGCCTTTCCCTTCAATCTTTGGAAACCTGATTAGCCAACATGGTCAATTGTTGACCACTCCAATCTCGGGTGCTTTGTCGAGGGGATCCCTTGACGTGCATTCCATTCCCATTGCAGCTCGGCTACGTTCTAGCAGTGCTATACTGCCATTTTTAGAGAGAAGATTAACGAGTCTTCTAAGACATGGAACGGTACAAGGATCGTCTGCGTCGTCATTGCTTAGAAGTTGGGGGTTTGGAAGAGAGGAGGTAGAAGACATGGGAGAGTCACTTTCAAAAATGGTTTTGGCGCTAAATCCACATCCACTATCCTCGTCTGATTCTGATTGAGGTATGTACGACTGTTATGAAATTGAAAATGTAGAAGTTTGTGAGAGTGGGATTGTAGTAGTCTGTCTGTTTGATTTATAGTCATGAACTCAGAATGATGAAATGCACACGAGAATATGGGTTTTTATGTGATTCTTGACATCATGTAGCTAAGGATTTTAGAAACGGGCAGCAAGAAAGGTCAACTGTCAAGCTGCCTGCTGTTTTGTTGGATTTCATGTCATGGTTGTGCTTGGGTCTGATTATTAGTGTAGCATTTTCTTTTCTTAGAAATGATTAGTCTGGCTAGCTTTGTTTAAAGATGTATACAGGAACATAGATTAAATGTTTTCTTGATGAGTTTTAGTTGATATATTATGAAACTAATTATGTTGACTATGAACTAAGTATGAAGTAAATAAAAAATATAACTAAACGAAAGCTTAGTAGACCGAAAGACTAGACTTGCTCAGACTCGGGATGATATGAAATCTTGTTCTTTTTTTTCCTTCAAGAAGATGACTTGTAAATCTTAATCTTAGGATATTGTGGCAAGACATCCGAATGATGACCCTAAGTTTTTGTCTTTTTTTTTTATTTTTTTATCTTTTTTAATAATAATTCTATTGATTTATTAATGTTGTGAGTTCTAGAATAGAGTTGGTCGATATGAGTTCTAGAATGATGACCCTAAAATTGACTTTGACTTTTCCATATTCCTTCTAATTCCGACCCATCTTTTCTAAACCAAATTTCTCATACTAATACTAAAATAGTTATATCTTTTAAGACCCAATTTCTGATACTGACGAAAAAATGTGACAATAATCGGGAACTAAATTGTAAAGATGAAAGTTTAAATATTAAAATTAGGGAGACATCAAATGTGAGATGAATTAATGTTCCAATCATATTGAAGAAAAAAATATGTATATAAATTGGGAGTGTAAAGTCTTAATTAAGACGACTTGAATTTAGGACATCATCAACACAATCATGTGCTGTCAAAGTCTACTATAATTTTTGGGTCAACGAAATTAATTTTATTCCATATATACTTTTAGTGAAATGGTTGTTTTAATTCACCAGTATTTATCAATCTCTTTTATTAATTTTTATTTCAAATTTTCTAAATTATTAATCGGGGAAAAAATATATTTCATGTAGTTGAAAAACAGTCGACATGCATTTAATTTATCAAATTGTTATTCATCCAATAATATTATAAAGAATTAAATATTGAGACAAAATTTGTGAATAATTTGTTTGTTTATGTGGGAGTGGAAGCCTGTTAGGAGTTTTGATTTTGTTAGAGGAAGAGCTCATTATTGGCCTCTCAAGGGAGACCTTCTTACCGTTTGGCGTGGAGGGAAGTTGCAACCCGCGTTCTTCCTCCTCCTCCATACCCTTCCCATTTCATGATTTAGATTACCGTGATTGATTTATCACCATGGGTTGGTTGCGCAACATCTCCTTTACTTCTTCCTCCATGGTGAGGATTCCGGCCACTGCCACCGGTGACGATTCCCCGACCAGAAAGGCTACTACCAGAGACTCCTACAATCATAATTATCGGGGAGTTGTTTGGCGTTTTGGCGCCTCTAAACATTCCCGCCATAGGAAGCTTCGGAACTTAAGCGGACGTGAGGGTGCCGCTGCTTCTTTGGCTAAATGGTCCGATACTACGCCCGAACCCGACTCCTTGTCGCGACTGTCGAGTACTTCTGATGAACATGCCGTGCCCTTGCCGCTCCCGGAGGTTCCCCCGGTATTTCAGCGTCGTGAAGGGATCTCGAATTCGAATTCTGCTTGTGGAGACGGGGATTGTCCTCTTCCGTCGCCCAAGGATTGGCATGGCCGAGGCGGGGACGACCGTGATGTTGATAGATGTAGAACTGCACCTTCTCTTAAGATTGGAGGCAGGGATTCCATTGGCACTCCGATTAAAAGGTACCCGAACTGGAATGTCCTTCCTTCTCTGTACTCCTAACGTCGTCAAATGCCGTATTTTATGCTTTTTCCATTTCTCGGTTATGCTTGTAGCTTTTTGAGTTTGACCTCTCTGTTTCTAAATTGAAGACTATTTGAAGCTACTGTGAGCTGTGGGTGTATGACTTTGAACTTTTTAAAGAATTGCACAGCGTAGTGGATAAGGCACCAATGACCATTTCAAGGATCAATAGTTCAATCTTCCACCTGCAATTGTTGAGCTAAAAAAAAAAATCCTTTGTTAAAATGTTAACCGCTATGTTTATTGTTTACACTGTTTAGTGCGTCTCTGCTGTGTTCTCGTGCTCATTTGCATCGAGGTTTCAAAAAGTTTAGGGAAAGCTTCGTGTCTTTTTTTTTGGCACGAGTGTTACATGAGCCGTGTTGGTTCTATGCTTCTTGTTCCATTCTTGTTTATTGAGGATGGGATAAGTCGGTGTGATCTTATTGATATGCCTTGCTGTTTGGACAATGTTGATATTGTATCGTGTTCTGTGTTTCCACTATAACTTTATACTTGTTATTATGACCAACACTTGCTCTCAAATTTAATGAACCAGTATATCTGATTCTGGGGAGAGGCAGAAGAAAGAAGATCAGATTGGGACAAGGTCGTCTGGGAGGGTGAATCAATATGCCAGACGCTTTCCTGAAGCATCTCAGAATAAATTTTGGATTGACGTTCCCTGTAGGAGTGCTCCTACTAGTCCTTTTGCAAGTCCTACACTCAGTCCCCAAAGAAATAGTGACAGGAACCTTTCAAACTCCCATCATGTGGCTCCATTAGAATATCAAGGCTGGTCTGCACCTGAGCTACCATCCTCAGCAATGATGCGGGGGGTTCCTCCTGCATTCTTTGATGGCTCCACTCTTAGCTCTGAGAGTTCTCCCATGCATAGCCCAACAGGTAGAAATCCCCACCAAGATCCCAGAAGTCCAACAGGAGCTTCATCTCCATTGCACACCAAGATTTCCCTTGAAACACATGCTCTGCGTCGTGAAGGTTCTGGTCCTGTCAGTGTCCACCCATTACCTCTTCCTCCTGGAGTACCAATGCCTTCGTCGTCAATCTCAATGACTTCACCGTCAATCCCAACGCCTTCACCATCAACCCCAACGCCTCTACCATCAACCCCAATTACAGAAGCTAACACTAAAGCTGAGCCAATCTCAATGAAAAATCAATGGCGGAAAGGAAAACTTATTGGCCGGGGCACATTTGGAAGTGTTTATGTTGCAAGCAACAGGTATATGAGTTTCGTTGGCATCTTCTGTTGTCATTTGCTTCTGGTGACTAACTATGTTTTCCCCCCCTTTTTACTCCCCCAAAGAGAAAATGGAGCTTTATGTGCAATGAAGGAAGTTGAATTATTTCACGATGATCCAAAGTCAGCTGAATGTATAAAGCAATTAGAACAGGTAATTTTTTTTTTTAAAAAAAAAATTGAGTTGTGGTCAACTGTTTAATAAGCATAGTTGGCACTCCTTAGTTTTTTGTCACAAACCCTTTGTTTTTTTTGTGTCTGGAGGAACTTTCTTATATGATCGGAGGTTTTCCTTTCAACTGTTTTCATATTATTGACCAACTCTTGGCTAACAAATTATTGTTTAAGCTGGTAAACATGTTTAAAGTATGGTTCCGAGATTAAATTGTTTAAGTGTTTAGTTTTATTTTCTAACATCTTTACTCTCATTAAGAATCCAGTTTTTTTTTTTTTTTTTTTTTTTTTTTTTTTTTTTTTTTTTTTTTTTTTTTTTTTTTTTTTTGTAATTTATAATTTGGATTTATCTAAATAAGATAAGAAATTAAACCAAAGATTCGCAATAATTTATTATACTTTGTTTATTCAGTGAAAGTGATACATGTGGTGTGATTAACAGTTGAGTGAATCTAGTACCATATTATTTGGTGTTGTACGACTCTGTATCCTTGTTTATGTAGTGCCTTAGAAATGATCCTTCCTACGAGATATTACCGCTACTAGAAAACTTAATGGACTAGTCTCGTTAAGGATATGAAGATAATAAATTCTAGATGTATGTTTTGTTCGTCTTTTCTTCATGTTATTTGGTATTAGCTAACCAGGAGTCTCTTTGAAAAATTGAAAGTATGACTATCTGACGTCCTACTTGCTAAAACCTGATATTTAAAATAAAAAGTTTTTCTGTAACATATGCTTTATTGAGGCAGGCTTTAGTTTGGCTCATGTTATGCTTAAATGCTGCCATCGGCATTCATCATCCAAATGGAGTTAATGCTCTGCTATTTTAAAATATGCCATAGCTTCATATTTGTCCTCTGATGGCAGGACGACATTTGATGCTGTTTAGTTTTACCTCTCTTCTTCTAACTGTCACAGGAAATCAAACTTCTGAGCCAGCTAAAGCATCCAAATATTGTCCAGTACTATGGTAGTGATATTGTGAGTACTTGTTTTGCTTGTTACGACATTTCAAAGTTGTTCATTTTTTATAATCTTATAACCAAATATAATTCTTACTCTGGGGTCTATGTAGGTTGAAGATCGATTATATATTTACCTGGAGTATGTTCATCCTGGTTCAATTAATAAATATGTTCGTGAACACTGTGGAGCCATGACAGAATCTGTTGTTCGAAGTTTTACTCGTCACATCCTATCAGGATTGGCCTACTTGCACAGTACAAAGACGATACATCGGTAGGGAACATTCGTGTTGATTTGTTTGATACAAAGTCTTGAAGTTGACATGTAAAATCAAGATGACCACAAATATTCTATTGAAAATAAGAAATAAATACTTGAATATTTAATTTCTATCTTCAGTTAGTTTAATCGTGGAAGAAATAATTATGATCAATGGTCTGTAAGCTTATATTATGTTTATGTGACGATATCTGTTTGGAGATTTAATTTTTCCCTCATACAGGGACATTAAAGGTGCTAATTTGCTTGTAGACTCTTGTGGGGTTGTCAAGCTTGCTGACTTTGGAATGGCTAAACATGTAAGTTTGAGATCGAGTGCCAATTGACTTCTACTATTTCCCCCTTCTTTTAGTATTTGCTACCTTTTCCCCTCTAATTTCTGAGTTTTTTTTTTTCCAAATATATCCATACATTTTTATAAATCAACGGCATTTTTCTCTATGGATTTGGTGTATATATTAGATTTGCTGAAACCATGGTCTCATGTGTGCACTGCTTATATACTTGTCACTTTAGGTAAATAGGTCTTTCAATTTGTGTAACATTAGTATCTAGGCACTCTCAACTTTAGTATCATTGTCACACAGTCTAAGAATTGGAGAAAAAGAAGTCATTTTTGTTTGCAAGGTACTTACACATTTGTTGCTGCATGATCGTAGGCATTAATATGACTTTCAATTGCTGTTAAGAGACTTTTTCCCCTTTTTAGAACTAGACATGAATGATGCTGATGTATATCTCTACAGCTTACAGGACAAGTTGCTGATCTCTCTTTAAAGGGAAGTCCATACTGGATGGCTCCTGAGGTATCTTTTTATTCCTACATTAGATGGGTTCTTGGCTTATGGTTTCTCTTAATGACAGCGATCACTTGAAATATTAGGTCAACTATATGACTTTATATAGTTGGATTGGCTATTTATAGATGAGGGATGTGATTAAAATTTGTCTTTTCCTGCAGCTCCTTCTTTCTGTGATGCAGAAGGATAACAACTCTGATCTTGCCTTAGCTATTGATATTTGGAGCCTTGGTTGCACTATTATAGAAATGTTCACTGGCAAGCCACCTTGGAGCGACTATGAAGGGGTAAGTGTTGGATAACTTGGCATGTGCTTGTAACTGCATCAACACGGATAGAATTTTTATTTTTATGACTCATATGCATTTGATGAAAGTTGAGCGGTGGAAGAACTTATATCTGCACCACCAAGGCACCAAGATTTCTTGGTTGCTTGGTTTCGAAACTCTAAACTTTATTAGGTAAATATGACACATTAACTTTTCTCCACCCTTTGTTCTGCGCTTTTCGCACCTAGAGCAGGTATATGTGTAACGTAGTAAATGTATGTTTATTCTGGACCTATTGTCAGCTTATCATTATTCCATAGCGTACAAAAGACATTGCCGACCCAACAGAACATTTTATTTGCATGTTGAACCAATAATTGGTAGATATTTTTTGAGTTCGGTAGATTTTACTATTTGGTTGGTGGTTACAAGTTCATCTGTTAATACAGGCTGCAGCTATGTTTAAGGTAATGAGAGATACCCCAACAATACCTGAATCATTATCATATGAAGCCAGAGATTTCTTAAAATGCTGCTTTCAGAGAAATCCTGCAGAGAGGTCGACTGCTGCCATGCTGCTTGAACATCCATTTATAAAAAACTTGCAACATCCAGATGCTCCACCTTGCTATCAGGCCATTGCTAGATCGAGTTTGATGGTAAACTTAACATAGTTACAATAGTCCCCTTCCACCCTGCTTAACCTGTCATTTTTCGTTACAGTGTGGTTTATGATGCCATGATAAATGCTACAGCCCAAGTAAACAATATTCAAGTAAACTTGATCAGTCTTCCATGCTTCCAAGCTCACAAAATTCCAAGGGAATGTAAGCGGCCGAGAGGCAAGAATTGCCTTTTGCCTTGCTCTCCACTTCTCATTTGTAATTGGACCATGAATGTTAATGCATTCATTACAATTCTTTGTATGACTCTAGATTCATACATTATTGTTTTATTCTTTCCCAGTGTGATTGGCTCACTCTCTCATCATGAAACCTCTGACTTAACTGTAATGTCTCGTCATTCTCCCCGTTCTACCCTTGAGGCTCTTCCAGTACTGTCACCTCCATGCTTAGTTCACAATGTGCACCATCTCAGTTCCCCTGCAAATGCACTCGGCGTTGTAAATCAAACAAATAAGAAGAGCCACACACTAATTTAGCCGGGAAGTATAATGGTTGTACCAGGCCTGCCTCTGGCTTTGTTTGAACCTTCCATCGATGTGCGTTTGACACGGGTGGCTAAAGTATAAAATCAGCATCATGACAAGAAGCCAGATTCGGGTGCTGCGTCTAGTAGGCGAGTTTCTGACATAGATTGTTACTAACACATGTAGTTGTCTTCTTTTGAAATGGAATAGCTTCTGGTCTGGTCGTTAACTCCACAATGGGAGTTGAGAAACAATTTTGTATACTGTTTTTTTCTTCTCATTTTAGAGCCTCAGTTATGGCAATATCCACCTGTCATTCCTTGGTGTTGGCGTGGGAAAATCACCACTTCCATGTACCACTTCCATGTACCACTTCAAACTGAATTTGTAGATATTAGAGTGGTATGATAATGGAATCATATGGTCGAACAGAGATTCCATTGAAATTTTCTTAGTTTAATTGCGATGGATATGCAATTCTCCTTGTGATCATGTCTTCCCTTTGTTTCCGCTCCTGTACAAGTTTCCCATCTGCACTTCAAAAAGTTGGTGATAAAAAATGATTGCATATTTTAAAAATTTTCGTTTAGCTTAGAAGATGAACTAGAAAGTCTTATGGAGGTGTAGACACTATTGTTCAACCAATCAAACCGTGCAAAGTTGAGCTGTGGTCTTAAGTAGAAGGACCAATCTACTAAATATGATCTAAGCGATGAGGGAAAAAAGACAAAAAGGAAGAGAGAGAAAGAGAGTATGAAGAAATGTCATTTTAGCTTTTGTAGTTTTTTTATTTTTTGCTTATCATTTTTCAACTGAATTGCCCCAAGAAAGTGCCTTCATTTGGCAGTGGTGGTGGAACCACGTGAAGTTCCATCATTCGAACCCGATTCTGCTGACACAGATTAGAGAGAAAAAAGAAAGAAAGAAAGAAAGAAACAGAGAGAAAGATGGAAGCTCCAGCTCCACAAGCAATAGAGGTTTCCAGCAAGAACCTTGGGGTGGAAGAAGATGAGCAAGATAAAGCCCTCAATGAGTGGTAATCTTTCAGTGTTTCTCACTTTCTGTTCTTCCTCTTCAGTGATTTAAATCTCCAAATTAATGGGTTATTGGGTGTTGCAGCTGTTCTTGCTGCTATGACTGCTCCCAAAGCTGGCTTGATTTCTTGTGCTGTTCGGATGTGTGTGGGTGTTAGATGGTAAAGTAATTGGAATTTGTCCACAAATTCTGAGACGACGATGCTACAGCCTGCAGTAGTGAAGATCAGGAAGCAGGAAGAATATGTTTTTTGTTTACTGTTTTACTCTCACTCTGTTCTCCCTAGATTTCTTTACCTCCCTTTTCCTTTCTTCTTCAGCTTAGACTTCCTTCATCTTCTTGTTTACTGAATTCAATCTAAATAAGCTACTTACCAAACTCTTTCTCCTCTTTATGACTTTCTTTTCCTTCCTTCACTTGAACGGGTAGAGATTCCATCCTTTAATCTATGTATCAAAGCTATTTATCAATTGAGCTCAAGTCCGATTGGCTATAATTTTGTGATACTGGAAATTTTGATGAACTGAAACATCATAATTTTACGGTTTAAAGCTACAATGGATTTCATTCCCTATCAGTTTAACTCATTGCAGCATATGAAGAGGTAGATTAGATGTTTGAACCTGTCAAGTTCACTCGCTAACAAAATGAACGAAAACTCCATTTGTCGTACATTTTTTCACAAACTACATTCGAAAGAGAGCTATTTTGAGAATAGGATAACTAAGAAACATTTAAAAGAATTGGAAGTTACTGTATATACTAACAAGATACACCTACTTTTTCGGTGGCTCAACCATCAAAATTTCACAGTCAAGTCTATTTTGCTAAATAATACATGTTAGTGATGATACAGTATATTGGAAGGGCTCATGTTGGTCTGTAGGGATAGTTTTCACTCTTAGGAGCGAAGACAAAAGTTAGAACATCATCATTTCGGTAAGGTTTTTTAATTTTGTTAACAAAGAATCAATATTAATTCGTATAAAAGCAAATTAAATGCAGAAATTTCAACTCAATTGCTTTCAGACTACTACGGTCTAAAAGCAGAAAGATAGAAAGAAAGAAGGCCTTTATTCATCAGAAATCAATAAAGCATGATGCCCTTGACTCTAGAAGAACACAAGTCATCCATTTTCCCCATATCACTTTTGAAATGTTTCTACTCAAACAATAATTCTACAAAGAAAATGGTAAAGTTTGAATCAATACTGTATAACGCAAATGGAAGTTTTTCTTCATAGACCACACAGACATTCATGAATATGATTCATTGGAAATTCATATAATAATCTTCATATTGAACCATACGTCATAGTGAGAAAAATGGGGTTTATGGTTTCTGTGGTCTATATTGCTCGGAGGATAAGCAGAGGTATTTCCTATGGTCGGTCTGCTTGGTAGAGTCTGATTCAGCAGCACAGATAGCAGCCAAGTTGGATACCAACTTTCTGCTAAAGTTGTGAATTAAGTCATTAGGTGCAGTGCTCAAATAGCTATCTACTCCCACATTCCCAGTTTTTAAATTGCGTTAATGGATCATAGACGCCTATTCCTTTACCTTTTCTGTGCATGGCATCAACTCCTTTTAGGTCCTTATATGCATATTCAATGAAACCATTCATATTCTTCTGCCTCCCCCATTAGTTAAAGTCCATATATTAATAGAAAATTCCTCTTCCTTAGCATGATTCCTGGCGTTGTGCCTTGTCCTATCTTCCACTATTGGACTACTTACTGATGGGAAGGCATTTGGTGGCAGCCCATTATTGGAAACGAATAAAAAATGGTGAGCCTTTGAGTGCAGGTTTTTCTTCACCTGATTGGAATCAAGTCAAACTTGGGAGTGTTGTGTTGTAGATTACTTATTATACTCTTTTTATCCCTTCTTGAAATGGTGAGCCATGAAAGTGTGATGTGCATCACCTTACCACTATATCAATTTTGAGTTTCAACGAGATGGGGTCTGCCTTAGCTCTAACAAAATGGTGGGTTGTACCAAACTCAATCCAAAAAACTATATTTTGAGTGGCTGAGCCACTAATTATATTAGACCTGCAATAAACTGTCATTCTTGCATTCTTTTTCTGTATATAAATAGCTGCTATTCCACACTGATTCTAATACAAAATTAGCAATCATTTATTGTTTCTGCTGCTTCCTCAGATCTATTATACAGACATGAAGGATAACTCCTCCAAACTTATTGTTTTCTTGCTTATAAGCTTCGTTTTCTTGAATCACCTCCTTGTGTCCTCACAACTTGATTATAGATTCTATGATGACTCGTGTCCCAACCTAACAAGGATTGTCAGATATGGCGTCTGGATGGCAGTTTCTAACGATACTAGGATGGCTGCTTCTCTCTTACGCCTTCATTTTCATGATTGCTTTGTCAACGTAATCAATTTTTCTGGATGATCATAGAGTTGTTTTTTTAAAAAAAATCTGTTTTTTAGAACATATATGTAAACTTGTTTGTTTCTGGTGTAGGGATGTGATGGATCATTGTTGCTTGATGACACTAGCTCATTTAAAGGGGAGAAAAATGCATTGCCAAATATGAACTCAGTTCGAGGCTATGAGGTCATTGATGATATAAAGGCTGTTTTAGAGAGAGTCTGCCCATCTGTCGTGTCATGCACTGATATAGTGACTCTAGCAGCTAGAGAGGCTGTCTACCTTGTAAGCAAATTTGTGGCTCACACATCTCTCTCAAACATCATGATTTTGTGTCTTTCTGAACCTTTCCTTTTCAGGCTGGAGGACCCTTTTGGCCCATTCCACTCGGTCGGCGAGATGGCACGACAGCAAGCGAGAGTGAAGCCAATCGGCTGCCATCACCGTTGGAGCCATTGGAGAATATCATTGCAAAATTCACTTCAAAAGGGCTTGATGTAAAGGATGTTGTCGTGCTCTCAGGTCACCTTTCTTATGCCCCATCTTTGTACTTCCTTCAGCTTTAGATTTACAATTCTAACCATCCTGTCCCCGACTGATGTTCAGGTGCACACACTTTCGGGTTAGCTCGGTGCATGATGTTCAAGCATAGGCTGTTCAACTTCGATGGCTCTGGCAATCCTGACCCAGAACTAGATGTCATGCTGCGACAGAATTTACAGAGCGTCTGTCCCAATCAAGATGATTCCAACGACAAACTGGCCCCCTTGGACACGTACACGATCAGCAGGTTTGACAATGTGTATTACAGAAACTTGGTGAACAAGTTGGGACTTTTGCAGTCAGACCAAGCTCTGATGAAACACAACACAACTGCTCCGTTGGTGGTGAGCTACAGCAGGTACCCATACCTGTTTAACAGGGACTTTGGAGCATCAATGGTGAAGCTGGCCAATACTGGAGTCCTTACAGGCCAAAATGGGGAAATTAGGAAGAATTGCAGGGTGGTGAACTAGAAGATAATATGCTTTTTGTAAATTAAACCAAACTCAACTCTCTTTCAATAATAGAATGGCTGTTGGCAAGTGTTGTTGATGATTCTGCTGTTGCTTTCTAGAGTTTTGTTTGACTGAGTAGCTGAAATTTGGGCCTGTGTTCAGCCCAAAATCTCAGCTTCTTCTGACACTATTGGAGGGTAACTGCCCCATAGATATTATCTGGTTTGTCGCCTGTAAAGCATTGTTTAGGGTTTATGTGGGGACCAGAATCAGATCTGTTCATTCCTGTCCTACTGAAGCAGTCCCTAGGATCCAAATTTTATATTCACCTTATCCGTCTGGTTGACTTTACATTTCTCTTCATTATTTTATATATAAATATTTGAGAGTCAAAGAGTGTGAAATTAAAAAAGTAAATAAAATGAAGGTACGGTTGTGTAGGAAGCAAAGGGGAAGAAGGGGGGAAAGACAGCCGTTTTTGGGAACTAATTATTAATAAATTAGAAAATGGATATACACTGATTAAATTGTGCATTGCATTTTTTAAAGAACAAAAATCGATATTTATTGTACTTATCTTCATTCTGTATTGTAACTGTGTGTTCTATGTTTAGTATATGAACTAAGCAACACATTCAACATTCGTACAGCATTGAGGATCGGAGGAGTGAAACACAAACCTAAAAACTAATCAAATCAAAACATGAAAAGGTTTATGTTTCATCTGTGTAACAGCATTCTGAAGCTGAAATTATATGGCATTACTTGCACTAATTGGGAGACAGCCTCTCTTCCTTTCCTCTCAACGCATTTAACTGCTTCAATTCTCAGCTCATTTGGAAGCTGCAAGCAAACCCAATCCAACAGTGATTCCAAATCCTTTGCGAAGTCAAGTAAGTACCAATCCAAGACCTTTGGAATCATCAACTTGTTGTTTGTCTTTGAAATCCCAACTGCTGCCTGTAAATACTCCCTCTTGGCTACTTCTAACTCCTCTTCAACTTTAGATCCTGTGTACACTCTCACCTTCATTTCACACCAACTTATAGATCAGTAATATTTGATTCAAAGACGATATCTCTATTGGTAAGAGGCTTTCTATATGGAGTTCGAAGTAAAATCCTCAGCGGAGTTATATTAAGATGATGAACAATATCGTAACTAACTTCCATGTGTAAATGTAGCATACTTACAGCAGGAGACGACCAGCTTCCACAGCAGAGTGCAAATGTGATCAAGGGTTCGGAACATTCCAATCCGAACAAACTGCGTGCTCTCATCTCGTCGTTCTTTACTGCTTTTGGACAGGTCTGAGGTTTATCGACGAAAATGCAGCAATTACTTAGAATCTGAAAGACTTGAGAAGAATACTGGGAAATGTGGGTGTTGGAAAGGATAGACTTACGAACTTCAGATGATAAGGAAGCCTCAAGATGAAATGCTCAATTGTTAGTGCATTTAGAAGGTGTCCTCCCACAACAATTGTTGCCTGTTATAGAACAAAACTTTCCAATTTGAATGTGATGAACAACAAGAATCCGACCGAGTTTAGGCTTACTTTTAAAGTCGAGAATCTAAGAGAACTTAATGGAATTCAGGTCTGTCTTTGATGGTGGAAACAAGATGATTACCTTTTGCATCAATGTTACAACTCTTTCATGAGTCTCAGGTATGCCCTGCTCTATAAATGCCTGAAGTCACACAATGCAGCTGCATTAGTTTCTTGATTAAGGCCACTAATTAACAAGTTAACGAAGATTTTTATATTGAGCAATCCTCCTGACATATAATGGTGCATTGGTAGCTCACATTCATCATGCAGGAATTGTAGGTGTTGATCCAGAAAGCTAGCTTTTCCTGATGGCTAAGACCTGCCAAGTTCACCGAGGCGAGTCTTCGGAACAAGTTTCTGCACGTTTGTTGAATTGCTTCATTAAGTTAATAAAACTAACAAAAGTTTTCCGACAAGACAAGACAAGACATCCAGAGAACTTACTTGAGTCTATGAATTACAAAAACTGCGTTAGTTGAACGGTTGAAATTCACAGAACTAGCTTCGATTGGACAAAGATGTCTGTAGGAACCAATGTCCCTCGGTTTGAAATCTGAACCGACATCGTAAGGATCTTGCAACTCTGCTGGTCCATTTGATGTATGAGCATCTGATGAGTCCAAAGCTTTGTCTTTTGATGAACTCAGTCTTATGAAAATGGAAGATAAACACTTCACAATGTCCTCTGAAATTTTGTTTGGTGAGCTACTAGCCTCTATATCATCACACAAACTTGATGAATTGTCCTTTGCTCTTTCTCGTTCCAGTCTAAACTCCAGCTGGAACATTAGAAGGAAGTTAATGAGTAATTTGAAATTTGTTCAGGTGAAGATAATTCAATATGGTAACAAGCAAAAACCTGAGATTTCAAAGGAGACTTCTTCAGTGGGCTTATAATTCTATCAACTTTCTTTTCTGGAGATGGCCTTTTTTTCACAGTATTTGTATATGACTGATTCTCTTTTCCCAGCCCATCTTCTGGAAGAAACAAAAACGAACTCGATTTCCCGGGAACTTGTTTCCCATTGGCGAACCTGTTAGAACAGTTACCATTACGATCGAAGAAGTTGTCGTTCGTCGATAGCTTTCGACTTGAAGAACATCTGGCCAGTGAAGGCTGCAGCCTGGCTGTTGAGTTTGCAGAATTGAACTCATTTTGGCAATATGACTTCGTTCTCCGATGCTTCGAGACTCTTGTCGAGACAGGCTCCATTGTGTCTATGGAATTGTCTGAATTCCTTGAGGAAGATGATACATATACAGCTTCCTGATAGAGTCCTTGTCTGAAATTCACAACCTGTTCTTCTAGCCTTACAACCTCTTCCTCTAGAACAGCTACTTCAGCTAGAAGTTCTAGTATCTGCAACAAGGGAGGAAAAACAGGAATTTTAAAAATTGAAGTGATTTGAATCCAACCCTTTTCGATTCTTTGTATGAAGAAGAGAGATAAAGGATGTAATATCTGAAATTGGCAGGTTTTACTAACATAAGGAGGGAGATATGGAGGAAGACGAGGGAGGGCTCCTAGGGGTCTAGTAAATGCTCTTTCTAATGCCTTATGAACATTCTCTTCATGTCTCAGCTTCTTCTTCAGCTTATCAACCTGAAAATTTCAAAATAACTAAACCATCAAAGACAAAAAACACAGGCATTTATCCCTAAAATGGCAGCTGGAGAAGGACATAATTACATCTTGTAGCAATGCTATTTTTCGTTCTCTGTTTAATTTGCGGCGATTTATGGTACTCCCAGATTTGTCATTCCCCATCGTCTTGTTCCTCTCTAACTTCTTCACCTTCTATACAAATTCAGCAAAGGAAACGCGATCACAAAAGAATATGAACATAATGTGCATTAGAAAGAACAAGAACGGCAATCATTTCAGAATGAACATAATGTGCCTAAAACCACACAAATCGAAATGCAGACCAGAAAGCAATTTAATAACTAAATTCACCTTGTCATGATTAAGAGTTTTGACGGTTTGAATGCTGTCGCGGACTCTGGCATTCATCTTTTACTTTTGCTGGGAAAAGAGAAGGAATTCCACCAAAAATCAATATTGCCACAACCCAAAAACAAAAAGAAAAAGAAACAGAAGCCGAAATGGATCAAAACAGTAAAACCCGAAAGAGAGCGCTTATGTACAAAGTATAGAGCGGGAAACTCAAAAGCAGAGGACCCAGAAATCGAACAAGTGTGCGTTTTAAAAAAGCAATGGTGGGTGTATGAATCTCGAAGAGAGTGAAGGGAGAAAGCAGTAAAAGGCCGGCAGATGAAGATACACAAAACGACGAGGTTTGGAGCTGAAAAAGGCGCCTTCCAAGAAGAGAGATTGCAGAGAGGCAACACAACACAACACAACACAACACAAAACCCATATGCAAATCATAGCAATAAACAATTGGGCAAAACCCAAATCTTGAAACAAAAAATAATGTAAAATATAACATGGGTTTCATAATATATATATATATATATAGTCCAGAAGTAAGCCATAAGCAAACTAAGAGAGAGAGAGAGAGAGAGAGAGCGTGGCATTACACAGAACTTCAGACTAGCAATTGTTGCAGGGCAAAGCATCTTTTTTTCCTTGCTGTGAATATATAAGCTTTTTTGTGCCAATGAAAGAGAGAGATAGAGAGAGAATTGTCGGAAGGCGTTTGGCGCACAGCGAGTGACAAAGCAGGGATTGTCCGAAGCGCTTTTGGTGTCCCAAGGCAGAGGAAAGAGAGAGAGAGAGAGAGAGAGAGAGAGGCTCTGTTTGCAGTAAACTCTGAATAAAAATATCATCTTTTTGAGTTAAACTTAAACCCCTTTTAATCTCCTTCTCTCTCTGTTTTTATTTGGAATTATTGCTCATCACATTCTATTTCCTAAGCTTTTTAATTACCATATCATTGTCTGTCTTTTATCTTAGTTCATCAATATGCTTTTTGGTTGGAGGAGGCCCAGCCACGAGCTGCATCCACACTGTTCACAAACAAAGCTTACATCGTCCCTTTTGGTTTTAAATTATTTATAGGACATATCACTTCTTCTATCTTCCATTCCTTTAGCTTTTTTTTAAAGTTTGAAATGTCTGCTTTTGATTTCTAGGTTCCAAAAACTGTGAAAAGAAAAAGTCTATGTGAATTCACTATCATCATGGTCTAAATCAGTATAAATCAGTAGGTGTCTAACCAATGAGATTATAATAGATTCAATCAAAAATGTTTCATCTTTTTTTCATGCTCTAGTTCATGTTTCATGTTGTTGCATAAATGACTCGCATGTTGCACAATATAGTTTTTCGTATATGATGATAACTCAGTTCAAATTTGAATAAAAAAACATAAAAGATGATTAGCTTAATAAAATATAATTAAAACAAGGAAGCAAAGAAGAGACAGCCGTCTGCGTACTAATTAACCATCTTAAATTGTTTTCAAGTTATTAAATTGTCAAAAAAAAAAAAAAAAAACATAGTTCTATGTCCAACTCTAAAAATATAAACGATTCCCTTCTCCTATTCTTTTTCTTTTTCTTTTTCTTTTTCTTACAAAATATTGCAATTTAAAGATATATATGTGATCCAGTTAGATCAAAGCTATCTTTTTTTTAATAAAAAAGAAAAAAGAAAGCCACTGGTCCCCTATTAATGTATGGAAAAGAAAATTGAGAAGAATTAAAAGAAAGCACATTATGCTTGGTTGTGAATGGAACCAAAGTGAGAAGTAATGCCAAAGTCTGAAGCAAGCACATTATCAGAGCATTTATGCGTATGCCCCAATTCTAAAAACACTTTTTTAAGCCCTCCATTTTCTTTTATTCAGGCAAATATGTATCGTTCTTTCTTGCGTGTACTTCGTTCGAATAACGTGAAAAAGGTTAAAATCTCGCCTCCATACTTGAAAATTCAAAGTAATTTTGTAGTATTTATCTCTTACATTCAATGGTACAAAGTTATAAGTGGGGGCATGGAGAAGGGAGCGTTGGATGATGGTAGCTGGTAGCCTTCTCCAGAGTCCTGAGTCCTGATCACTGACATGCATGGAAACCTAAATGAAGATCCAAAAGAACAGAAATACACAAAATGGAAGTTGGTACTTTTTGTCGTATGAATTAGAGAGTAACCATTCATTATTGCTACACATGTAGCCTTGTAGTAACCAGAGGAAGTTAAAGATAGCCATCATGGACCCAGGCCCTGTCTATGGGCTGGCTGACTGGCTGTACCTGTGGTCCAGTAGGCACAACTGGACCATTCTATTAAATGGGCCCACCCACAAGACCCAACTTGTACAAGCACATTGGACGAACAAAGGTTGAAGGGTTCCAGAATTTAGCAGAAATGGAAGGGCTTAAATGCGAATGGAAGATTGGGTTTGCACAGTCACTTCGCTTTCGTTGGGTCTCTCAGGCAAACAAAATTACAAATGGTCCTTCCATGCTTTACCCTCTTTTTCTTTTTTTTTTTCTATTGAAATTCAGAGTAAATGCAATGCAAAAAGCTCCCACTTTTATCTTCTAATTTCTGAGGGGCATCGCCTCTTCTCACTGGTCGCTTTCTCGCTTTGCCAATGGAGTTTCAACGCTCAACACGACACTGCTGTCCTAGATGAAGCTCAAGCATGTAGTATCATTGCATTTTGGCTGTCATCAGAAATCCCATTATTTATCACCAACCCAAGAGTTGGTTATTTGGAAGAAACAAACACTTGGATTGTGCTAACCTTTACTGATTATCCATTAATGGTTCTTCTTCGAAACTACAAATGCAACATAGTAGTTGGTTCCCAACACAACTAATAGTTAAGCAGAAGTTCTAATAAGGATATCCCCATTCATACTGAAAGTTCTCCAACCCAACAAAGAATCAGTCTCCACCCACCCCTGCCAGAAGTTTTGTCATCCTATAATAGATAATGAAACTGAGTGCAATGTTGATGAAGCCAGCAACGCTGTTCATCTTCAACTAGGTTATGTTTGGAAAAACTGAAACCAAATTGCCAGGAAAAGTATTTTTAAAAAGCCGCATAAAATCAGGACTTTTTTTTTTTTTTTTTTTTTTTTTTTTTTTTTTTTTTTTTTTTTTTTTTTTTTTTTTTTTTTTTTTTTTTTTTTTTTTTGGTATTAATCGATTAAACTTGAGGATACTGAAAATAAGAACTTACAGACGTTGGCTGGGATTTAGCAATGAGAGTTTGAGGACTCGTTTCAAAAAAGCTATCAGAGTCCTTTTCTATGGCACTGGGGATCATGGGAAGGACATCTTTTGATTTCTTAATCAAATGAAGTCCAGAAAAGTGATCACCCCAGATATCATATTTATATTTATCCTGAATTCCAGACTTACCTTCCCCTTCTAAAGAAGCTTTTTGGTTGAATAGTTTAGAGCCAGGAGCTCGAGCTTGCAGATCAATTTTGGAGGCTGAAGCAGCGAGAGGAGAGCATATGACATTTGGTGCAGGCCTGCCAGCAGAAGGAAAAGTGGCTGAAGGCAGCAAAATTGGTTTACTGCAACTCTTTCTCGACTCCGAAGGAGTTTCCTTGGAAGATGAAACCAAGCTGTCAATGCAATTCTTCACACTAACTTCAGGTTTTGGCGAACTCATGACAGAAGTAGGTTTAGATGTTTGTGCCTTGTGACATTGGGTTTCATCAATCACCCGATCAAAGAGACTACTCGCCTCAATGGACTGGTTCACATCAGGAGACATAGGCCATCTACGTTTTGGTGTACTAGACGCAGTGGGAGACAAAGGGGACGAAGGTGTAGAGTTACCACTTTGACTACTGGAAACTTCAAACAGACCAGCTAAGTTCATGGCACCTCCCTTTTTCTTCTTTCGCCGCCTCCCCCTTTCCTTCCCAGTTTTCACCGTGAGGTAATTTGGTTGAGATGCTTCCACAGCGTCAGAATTCTCAATTACTAGAGATTTTGACTGCAGGGAGGATTCTGGTGCTCCTTTCCCTTCAAAAACAGACCAAACATCTGAGAATTGACTTCTTTTCTCATTGTGATGTACAGAACAAGCCTTCTCCACACTCCTTGTAGAACTCGATATATGCTTGATCTCATTCTTGTATAAGAAATCCAGAGAGCTCAAGGATATCATGTGTGGAAAAATCCAACAAAATAACAAGAACATTACAGAAGAAATTAGGAGAACAGCGAAGGAGAATTTCTTCAGTCGTGTCCACAGGACTGATTTTCTGCAATTATCGAGCATATAGATGGGTAGACTGGCCTTCATGGGTATTACAAGTATACCAGTAGCTAAGGCCAGCTCAAGATCTCTATAAACCACAGAAGCAGAAAGATCAGTCTGGTATGATATCGTAAGTTTTTTTGACTCCCCAGGTTCAAGCGCAAAATATTTACAATTATGTACTAAGAAACCATCTAATGCACATTCTGTACCTGATATTTTAATCTTCTTGAATTCCAATGGCAAGTCACCAGTGTTCTTGGCATAGAACTCTTTCAATAATGGCAATGTACAGGCATGGCTAATCTCTTCCTTGTGGACTGACCTTTCTGAAGGGGAGATGTTGAGCAAAATTGGGGATTCAAGCTCAAACTCTATACTGATAACAGGCTTTGAACCCTCGAGAAGAAGCAGAGAAGATGAACCCCCATATCCTCTCATTGACAGCCACTCCACACCAGATAGATTATTTCTAATCAAAACTGAACTTCTCCAGTGACATCGACCAGAAGGATAGAAAAGTATAGGCCCAAAAAGCACATCACCATAAGGATGAACATACGCCTCTGTAATTGCATCCTCTGCTAGTGAAAATCCATATTTCTTTGGCATAGTAGAGTCATTGTGAATCAAACTACCAGATGGCAGGTGGATAAATTCTTCGGGGTCTTTGCATTCATCAATAATTTCACCTGAATTAATGATTAGCTGCATTACAACTGGCCACTTGCTTGGATTTTTCACAGTAATCCACTTATTAGAATGACTTCCAACCTCAACCATGGGAAAAAATACATCGTGCTCATCAAGCACAGACATGGACCTTCTGGTTCCCATAGAAGCCCAATTTTCAAGAACCAATTCATCTGCTTCTGCTCCCGCCACAGCCTTCAATATAAAGAAGAATCTTGATCATTTTGCATATTACCAAATGAAGAGTTAACTATGCAAGTACATACAATTAATGCATGAATGTATAAAAGGTGTGGAAGGGGACGCAGGACAGAACAATATCTCAAGCTGTCATGCTCTCAACAACAATGATTTTAAAAAAAAAAAAAGCATGAACATATAATCCTATTATCATTTGCTTCTCAAGATCTAAGTCCTAAGTAGCTCCTGACTACCAAGCTTCATAATTGACTCCCATTATAAGCTGCATACAAGGATAAAATAAGATCGAAAAACCAGATTACTGCCGTGGAAATCGGTTGAATCTGCAAAAACCCTGACACTAAGTTGATGAGGTGCACAGTCAATCAGAAAGCATGTGATATGAGAAGGAAGGGGTTTGTAATAAATATATTCAGCCAATTTAAAAAATAAAAGAGTAAGAAACTTCAACACAAATTAATTGCAAAAACATTTCATGAACTCGAAAATAAATGCTCAAGATTTTAAATATGGAATGCCCACAAATATACACAAGTAAATAGTAGTCATAGCAGCAACTATACTATTAGATAAGCATGAAAAATGCATGGTTGTAAGAAATAAAGTTTATTCTTAAATGAGTGACAACAAACTCCCTGCATACAAATTATAATATTTATAAATTTAATATAAAAAAATGTATACCTTGATTTCTGACTGTAACTGCACATGATTGGCCAAAGACCCCGCTCTTACATTACCAGATGAGAAGTGTTCATTTTGCTTTCCGTATTCCATGAAAGAGTACTTCCAATATTCTGAACATAGAAGGAATATATCGTTGCAAGGAACTTCAATATGAGAACTAGTTGACTCATTTGTCAACATGAGTAATTTACATTTGCTATACATATTGAAAATTTCAGGTGAGGCTTTGTCGACGTCAGCATGTTGTTCATTACAGGTAATCAGAGCAACTTGTGTGACAGTTCCAGGAAAAAGTAGCAAGCCTTCTAAGCTTTTGAACTCAAAAACCTTGCTTTCGGCCACTTCAATAATCTTAAGAACACTAAGCAAGTGAGAAGCGCTGTTCTTAAGTGCAATGGCAACAAAAACATTTCCATGGTACAGTAAAGGCTCAAAAGATGCAAATACAGACCCTTTATGATCAGCATGAGTTGATCCTCCTTCAAGTTGAGCTTCAAAAGGGACCGCTACTACATCAGGCTTATCCTGAGAAGGCCTTAATAACTGCAGCCAAAATGTGCCAATGATTGTCCCGCCATATTCAAATGACAAGTCCACTTCTATAATATTTTCATTGCTGAGAGGTTCTATCTTCCACTGTTTGTAGGGCCTCATAGAAAACGATGGTGAACCTATATGACCAAGTTGGACAACCAAGCCTTCTTTGACAATTGACGGCTTTGGCTCTTCAAATACCTGATATCTATCTACTCTACAAACTACTTCAGTATGATAACATTTATCCTCTTTCAAAACTGATATCCATCCTGTTAATTCCTCAACATAGAGCACATCATCATAGGGATTGAATAAAGACAAATTTTTAGTCCATCTCCCACTTGAGTGTATATTTAGGCTTAACAAAGGCTGGATTCCATAAGGTGACTGAATGGCAAAGCCTTTAGCCGGGACCAACAAACCACCAAAACTTGTCTGCAAAATCAGATGGCCAGAGGACAAGCCCAAATATTTTGGGTAGAAAACAAAGTAAATAGAAACTGCTTCACCAGGTCCTAAAACAGCCTCACTAAAATTGCAAGAGTAGAACTGTGAGTCAGTGCTGAATGGTTCATAGATGCGTAGAACACTTCGGTTGCATATATTTGTCACAGTTAATGAAGCTAAAGAAGGTAAGTATAAAAATTTATGTTCCCAGTCCAACTCAGTAGGACTAATATCTACAAGGGGAGATATAGAACTGTCTGATAAATCTGAATTCGTAACATCAAGCTTTATCTTTAGTGCAGAACTTGGGCTTTTCCGACAATGATGATCCCCTCTACATGTGGAAAGATCAAATTTACTAGTGCTATCATATTTTTGTATGGAAGACAGCTCACTAACACCCTGTCCCGAGTTTAAAGAACATGAAACTATCCCACCTTCAAATAACTCAAACATGCCATAATCTGATGACTGGCTTTTGTAGGCAGCCAATTTGTCATTTTGAGTTGATCCAACGGGTGGTGATGAACCACCAAACAGACCCAAAGACGCTTCTACATCTATCCCTTTCTTATTAAATGAAAATTCAAGTACCGTTGAAGGAAAGCAGAATAAACGACTGTCAGTACAAACACTTTCAAAACTTAGGCGGGATGTTGGATTGCTGCCCGAGCTAATATCTGCAGGAAGGGTGCTATGGATGCCATAGGCAGGGTCATTCATGAAATGTCCAGAGTCTTCATTTGATACAGGTTGCAGGTCAGAAGTGAAGCACGGTCCACATGCAGCATGGTGAAAAAAGGCACATAACAGAACTAATATATAAATGATTGCCCTGGCAAAGTCTGGATGAAACAGTCCCCTGAATAAACCAAAAGGGTATATTCCAGTCATTCACAAAATTTTGTTCAGTCCAACCTACGCAGAGTGCAGGAAAGTTGGTTAACAACGAATATCAGACACCATGAACTGAAAAGCTACAGTCAGATGGTTCTTCGTTTCTCTACTTTTCTCGTCAAAGTTTCCTCCCGCCATTCTCACCAGTCAAACGATGCCATGTAGACCAGCTGCTTGCAAGCGTTGAGGAGTGCATACAAAAGAGTTAAAAGGGAAATTGTCTATGCATGTCCAAGATTACCGCTTTCGAACATGACGGTTAACAATATCCAACCGCACTATAATCACCAATAAAATCGGATCACCTTGATTTTATTTCTTCAAGTTAATAAAAACTAGATTAAATAATGTCTAAATGCAACAAATATCGATAAACATTGGATGATTTGATT